GAGCAAACTGTTCTGGGGAAGAAATTAGGCTCAGGTACACTTTTATAGCTGACTGGTGTAACTAAATGGTATTTACTGCAAATCAGTTCAAGCACTTCAGTTATTTTAATGTGTTCTGCAAACTAACAGTACTCAATCACCCTTCATTAGACAGTAGAGCTGAGATCAAATCGAACGTATCAAAGCTTATCCATACTAGCTACTTCTAAACATGCTATTTGTTCAGTTTTGGTTTTTTTTGAAATATTTCTGTAATGGAGGTGGATAATCTACAGGACCCAGTTAACTGCATTTGTAATCAGTGGAGCCCATTTCAGAGAAATCTATCATGTGCTAGCCAAAGTTTAGCCATTCTTGCTAAATTCTGTTGCATAATTGCTCAAATGAAGCCAAACCGACAAGTCCACAGGATTGCATGTATTTAACTGAAAGCTGAAGGAAAGACTGGCTTGGTTTGACTTTGGTATCAGAGATGAGTCAATAGTGCTGCTCTAGATGGCACTGATGCTTTATCTCTGAAACAGAACATGTTCTCAATAATTACCACAGAAGTTGATATGGTAGGAAAGACAAGACTGGGTGGGGGCACAAATCTTAAGTTGTAAATTCTTTAGCACAACTGATTATAAAGATGAGTGGTGAGTTTCAAGAAAAAAAATTGAAATTGAGTCCTTCGTGTAGAAGCAGTAGTCAGATAAAAAGGGAAAAACATAACAATACACACCTGTGACAAAAATGGTTGCCGTATAGGTGGTATGAGATGCAACTGGCTACAAAAATTTTTATTTCTGCTTAAGCATTTCAAGATACCTTTTAAAAGAAAAACACAGGGTCCTGAAATAACATACCAGTCTATTATGCATAAAACTGGGGAGTTGAAAATCCAAATATATATTTTTTGAGACAGTAGAAATATTGCTGCCTAGCCAAGACAAAAATAAAACTAGAACATGATTTCAAACAATTTGAAAAAACAGAAGAAAAAAAATAATCCAACATCAGTTATTAATAGAATCAGGAATAATTATTGTTGTTTCTGATATATAATCAAATATTACTTGTAAAACATTGTACAGTGTAAATTGTAATCTTTTTCTATTAGCTGCAAAACAAGGTTCAGGATCTAATGTTAGTGTATGTCAGTGAAGATATTTCACTGAATATTGACCACAGCTACTTTCAGAATTTCACAGAATCTCCAAAGAATATGACTGGTGCTCTGTCTATTACTGTCACACTTTTCTCTAGCCCATGCTAGAACATTGTTCTACAAATGTATTATCCCACTGAGAATAGTTATATGTACTAACTCATTTAGCAGGTTAAAGACATATTGCTCTATATATAGTCAACATGAAAACAGAAGATTGACTCTCAGTCCCTTAAGGATTAATGAGCACATTCAGTATCAAAAACTAACCAAACAAAGTACATTACGGGTTACATGAAAAAGACACCATCAAGATTGTGATTATTAAAAAAAAAATCAGTAAAAATAATTTCAATGTTAAAAAACAGTACTTGGGAAACCAGAGATTATGGCAAACAAGGAAGTCAATAGAAGCAATTTCTTCTAGTTAAGATTCAGTGTCTTTTTTCCTAAAAGTGATGGAGTTTGATGAGTCAGCAGAAATTACTTCTTTGCTGCACTATATATTCAGGTCCCACTAGAAACAAATGGAATCAGCAAGACAGTAAGAAAAATGAGAATCTGAAAGAGTCTGTTGTTGAGGAGTGTCTTTTTATACACAGACACTTTTCTGAGTAGAACCATGCTTTAAAGTAAATGTTTATCTTTGTGGGACCACAAAGAAACAGCTCTGTCAAAACCTCAAGTGTTTTTTATGAGATGGTAAATTCAAGATTGCATTGTCAAAATCAGTAAAAAGAATTTTGGTTTTATGATTTATGCATCTCAGTTAAGGTACAATTTTATTCAACAATGGCAGACAAGACTAAAATATACATATATTAGCACACAAGTAATCTTTTCAGGATGTTATTTACCTTGCATTCAATCTCTGCTTGTCTACGTTTTGCTTCATTCAACTGAGCCAGAAGTCCTTTGTTCTGTGCAGAAAGGTACTGCACCTTCTCCTGTAGGTTGGTAACCTCTTGCTCTGCCCTTCTTAAGTGATTACTATTGATCTGGTTCTGAAATTTATGAAAAAAAAAAAAAAGGAAGCAAAATACATGTTAAGGAAAGGATATTGATCTAACTCCCTGAAGTCTGACAAAACAGACTTAGAGATCATTTACCATAAAAAAACTTTTGATGAAAAAGCATTCAGAGGTGTCCAAGTGTAATCAGAAAAGTTTGCATGACATTTTGTTTATGACCAGGATATTCAAATTGTTCTTAAACAGATGACTCACTGTAAGAGCATTATTGAAAGCTCCAGTAGATCTCTTTTTCCCCAATTGGTTGCCTAGGTAAGGCAGATTTTGTGAACTTGTATCCTAACTGCACTGTGCACCAGGAAAGATCAGGTATGTCAGAAATACTGTGCACATTTCCCTGTCCAGTGAATTCCCCAAAGCAACACGGCACCTTAGTTGAGATCAGTGCACATGTACAAGTCACAGCATTTGTACCCAAAGCTGTGCACACCATACCACGAGAATGGCATTGCTCTCAGATGACAGACAGACAGCTAGAGCACACACCAAGACTCCATGTGAAACACTCAAGTGAGAAGTACCCAAACACATGTAAGCCAGACAGCAGGATCTCTACGCCCCCTACTGACCAAAACAATATTGACACGTTAGAGAAAACTTTGAAAGGTAAGGCAAGAGGAAACTTGTTCAAGTGGTGCCTCTGTCAAAGAAGCCTTCATATGCCTTGCAGTTGGTTAATCTCTCTTCAATAGTACGTCCTTACATGCTCTCCTGGTTTCTGGAATTGCTGAACCTTATCAAGTAAAGCTGTTGTTTGTTTAGTTTTTTGGATGCATAAATCTCTTTCAAAAAGTAACATTTAGCAGGTATCTCATGGGAAGATTTCTTAGAAGTCTGTTACAAATCCTACTCAATCATTAACACATTGTGCTTATTAACTTGAGTGAAAGTTTTCTAATATAATATGAACTCACCTCTTCAGTGCGCTTTCATTGCAGGTGCTTAGCAACTTATTCCCTAGTTACACAAAAAAAATCTTGGCAGTCAAGGTATGATTGTCTTTTCTGCACAAACCTCAGCAGGAGTAACCCACGCTTTTCTATTCTGGCACATAAATGGCAAACCTTGTGATAAAACCCCCCCCGCCCAATACACAGCTGCTTTGCTGAGTCCACAGCTCAGTAACCAGATTCATGACCTCAGCAGAAAATAAATCACCAATGTCATCACACAAAAGCACACACTGCTATCTAACTACTACTATTATCAGAATTGCCAATTAGATTTGTGAAATTTAAAACACCTTAAACATACTCTTGTTGTTATTACACCTGTTAAAATGTAATGAATTAAGATGCACACACATTCAGTGTCTATCAACTAACCCAAATTAGAAATTCAGGAAGCATAGTCCTGGAGAAGATTAAAAAAGAGACATTAAAGTTGGAATGCATGCACTGGAGTCTCCCATCCCCATCTAACAGAAGTAAAAACATCCCACATTTTGGAACTAAAGTCCTACATGTAAGCAGTGAAGATCATCAATCAGGTATGTATCATTTAACACCAAACTGCCAGCATCCAGCTCAATCCACATGTCCTAGTGTTAAATAACATACCTGTGTCTCCACCTCCATCATTCTTTGTTTGGTCTCTTTCAGCTCAGCCTGAGTTTCTGCTTCTCTCAACCGCACTGTCATCAGCTCATCCTGTAGCTCATTCACTGCATTTTTTTTGGGAGGATCTTTCCATCTTCCAGTGGTACGAGCTAAATGACGCTAGAAAAACAGCATGTTTTTGCTGATAATGCTTGATCATTCCTGGTAATTTTCTTAACTTCATCTAAGGTCTCACAGTTATATGAGGACAAATAGCTAGAGTTTCCCTGTTGATCCTGAAAGCTAAAAACCAATGGAAACTTACTGGTTTTAAAACAGACAATTAAAACTTGAACACATTAATTCTCAGCTACAGTAGAGTCAGTGAATTGCAAGTATATCCTGAGATTTTGTCTATTTCTAGCCCTTTCTAACATTTAGCAAAGTAGGAGTACTGATCAGGTACTTCCCTCCTACCATAACAGTTAGCTGGTAGCACAGGCCCTCTGTCATCTATAACAGCTAGGCACCAATTTCTAACATACTTTTGAAGTTAAGTTTCTTGTTACAGTTGAATTTAAGGGTTTTCTCACCTCAGCAATTTGATCCATTATCATTAGTTTCTACTTCATCTCAGTAACTCAAAATTTTATAGTCTTTTGCTTTATCATTGAAAATAAAAATTCATAAAAGTGTATTGCTACCCATACCTGCCAGTGTTCCTCCAAATCTTTGACTTGCTGCCTTAGTTCTTTGAGACCCATCAAAGATTCTGCTTCTCTTAATTTTACTGCAATCAGTTCTTCTTGTAGTCTGGCAACATTTTCCTCATCAGGGAGGGAGCTGTTCCTCTGCAACAAGGACCATCCTCTTATTTATGTATTTGAATAAAATTGTGCTTAGTGAAACCCAGACCAAGAACACAGACATGGAACAATAACTAAGAAAACTTTAGGTGCACATCCTCTGCAAAATAAAAATCATCAAAAATCTAAGCTTCTGGATATAGTGAGTGTGTATAAATAACTGCCAACTATAAAAAAAAAATTAAAAGGTAGCAGTTCTAGGTATTCTGACTTCAAGATTTCCCTGAATGGCATCCCTAACAAAAAATTACATTTACAGTGTTTGAACACATCATCAAAAATATGGAGAGAAATCTGAAAGGTTTTGATCTAGTTGATAAAAAGTAAAGCAAACAGGGAACTTAAATTACACCTTAAATCTCTAACATTTGTTTAGGTTTACAGAAAAAATAATGAATGAAAATTTATTTTTTAGGAAGTAGATCATCAGCCTTTGAAAAGGAGAACAGATAGGCTGACAAAAGAACCATCTGTTAATATTTACGAACAACAACCAGTCAAGAGGTCTTAGAGATGAAAGTGCAAGGACACACAAGGGAAAAAGCAGAAAGGTGAGTGAAGGCTAAACAGATAATGTGAACACACAAGGAAAAGCAAAACAGAGATGAAATCCTAATAATGGAAACCTGGGGAAAAAACAAGAGGGTAAGAAAATGGACAGGCTGTCTACAATATCCCTACAACAAATCATTGGTCACCAAATATTCAAAGTTGAACTGTTCTTCATCACTTTCTACTTTTATTTCCCAGTAGTTGTTTTCAGCAAAATTAAGTGCTTTTGCAGATGTATAGTACTGTGACAGCTGTCAGGTTTTCCTGAGAGTTGAGTAAAGCACATGATTAGCATTAACAGAACACAGCACAACCGCCATTGATTAGCATTCCATGCTTCAAAATCACAGGATCTGAGTATTGGTAAATACAGGAAATGAGAGGGTATGTTTCTGAATGTTTATGATACTGTCATTATGGCCATGCAAATCTCAGGTTATTCAACAAAAGCTCCCCAGATTACACAACTCATCACTAACAGCAGTAAAGAGCTGCACTGGAGGAATTTGAGGGAGTTCACTTCAGCCACTTTCTCACGTGCATAAGTTCATTGTGACAGACTGAAATATTACTGTATGTCTGAGTCTGTCTGGTACACTGGAACTGACCACACTATTCCACTTTTTCTTCACAGGTAAGTTTTCATTGTATGTTGTTTCCATACTGATGAAGCGAAGTAGTCTCCTGAATTTTGAAAAATACTTTATATCCTGAATTCTTAGCAATGGTCAATACAGTAAGAACTAACACACTATTAATACTAAGCCCATCAGATAATTGAAAAATAAATCTTGATTCCAGTGGGTTAATCTAACTTTTAATCTAACTTGCTATTAAGTTCTAGCCTAGGTATATAGCTTGTTAAAATTTCCTAAGGAAACTAGTTCCAAAGCCAGTACAACAGGATATGAAAAGCATGCTTTATATCAGGTCAGTTATTGAGGTTTTCTTCCTTTTGCTATTTTATCTTGCAGTTAAATTTTGCTTCAAAGAAGCAAATTTAACAGTAGGTTTGAGTACAGCTTGAACTCTGGCATCAGTAAGTTACAAGCTAGCATGGCACCCAAAAAGCAGCAGAGATTCTGATACCAAACAGTGAAGGGATTCTTTCCCTGTCCATAATGGGACGGAAATGCTAATATTGAATCCTTTCTTCTTACCCTCACAAACTATTTAGTTTCACATAATCTCAATGCTCACTCTAAGCCCACTGCTCTTGTTGCAGAATATTATTTTGAAACAACTGATGTTTCCTGTCAAGACTTAAGCAGAATCCAAGTTTTTCACTACAGCAGGCTTCAGGAATAGAAGAAAAGTGATCAGTTATTTACAAACTTTTCTCAGCGCAAATAGAACTTTGTTTCATTGTTGTACTTTCAGGTTAGAAAAGCATCTTGCAATCACAGAAGCATAGAAGAGAAGGTTCTAGAGCACAGTTCTGCAAAGAATGACAGGGACCTGTAGTCTGTTTCTAGTGCTGTTCTGTACAGAGGGTCCTGGTTTGATTTACCTTTTCCATCTCTAGAACTTTATCTTGCATCTCCTTCAGGGCACAATGGGATTCTGCTTCACTCAGCCTGGCTTGGACCAGCTCTTTTTCCAGCTGTAGCACAAAGTCTTCACTGTATCGTGAACTGCATTTATGCTACAAAGTTTGCAGAAATATGTTTAGTATGAAGTACAGATTGTTTGAAAGGGGTTTTATATACCAGATTTGGTGGGAAAAGTACATTCAAATGCTTAAGATCAGGAATACCAGCGTAAGTGCTTACCTTATACAAGTCTGTAAATGTCAATCTAGACTGCTAACAAACTTATCCCTACTACTCTGCCTCTCAAAAAACTGCACCTCCACACAGCCAAATGTGTCTGCCAGATCTGAGACCCCTACTAGTACTCACAAGCAACAACTCATACTTTTCTCTCACTGTCAACAAAATGGAAGGATTCTCAAACAATCTCTGATTATTTTGTGATCTGAAGAAAAAGATGTTCAGGAAAGACTAGCAATTACAAGGTTAACACAAGTATCACTGAAACCCTGTTCACTTAAACTCCAATTCAACAGAATGCTTTCATAATTTTGGATTTAAAATAAAACTACATATGCTTCAATGCAAAATTACTTTGGTGCCTCTTTCTTCACTCCAGCTCTTGGCTCTCATTTGCTCATACTCTATATATTCCTTCTGAGATTCAGATACCTCCAGCTGAAGCACTTATATTCAAAAGATTTACTTTTCCCCCCAGTCAGTAGTTTAAAAATACATTTTATCTCTTTCCTGGGTCTCTTTAAAATGACTTGTCAGTCCGACAGATTGTCAAACTTGCTCAATAGGCAACACCAACCTAAATCAGCCTTTAAATTTCTGATTGAAGAAAAAAGTGGGTGTTGAAAGTGTAGTTGTTTAGTTACTTTGTTGACATAGCTACCCTGGAAATTACATTTAGAGGAAAATAATTTAATATACTTCTGGTGTCATTAACTACATTATGAAATACAAGTACTATGCTTGGATACATAGATTAAGTTTTAATTAACAATTCAACTTTTAAAATATTATTCCTGATACTAAAGATACAGCTGTGTCTTACTTTATGTTTGCATCAAACAATTTAGTTTTCTGCAACTAAAATCAGTAAAAAAATGAACAGAAGTCTTCAGTCCCACATGCTTCTGTTAGGGTGTGACATTCCCTTACTTTTTATGAAGAAATAAAAGGCAAACAGGACAAAACAAAGATTTAAATGTAACTATATGGTCAAGAAAATATTTTTTTTATTTGCTTTTATACTTCTGCAGGCCAACTAAACCTTTTGTCACAACTTACAGTACAATCCAAATTCAAAATGTACACTTCTCTTAGTGTTACTGTATTTCTTGTATGTATGTGCCTACAGGAAGCTGTAATGGAGGGGATAGGTACAAAGCATTAAAAGGCAAAGGCAGCTCAGGCAGGCAGCTTTTAGTGTCACTGACACCATCCACTTAAGCACTCAGCATACTGTGTGCATGTGAACACACACAGAACCCAGATACAGTATGATCCTTTTACATTAATTTTCCCTTATACAATACTAATCTAATTCATATTATTTTCAACCCACACAATGTTTTTGCCTCGGCAAGCAGTGGAGTAAGACCTCCACTGATCTGAGTGTAAGGAAGAGGATGGTGGACAATGCTGATTCATTTCTACAGCTGCTTCACATCACGTAGCAACACAAGTACCATATGTAACACCATGCAGAGGCAGAGAAGAAGCAACCACTCTTTTTAATTCCCTCACTGTTTGTACGAGTTCATCCCATGATACACACAGCAACTTAGATGATGGACTCTACATTGCATATTCCAGATTTCTGTCTGTGATACATGTGGAATGAGAGCAAGTGCAATGTTCTCTCTCTTTAAAGCAGGAAGTTCTCTAGTATTTTCCAGGATACCAAGAGAAAACAGCAGATTTAAAGAACTGAATACATGCTGATTTTGCAATAATGTAAGTGTATTCTATAAAAATCTAATTGATGTTTATCAAATAATAAGTAATGAAGAATGTAAGAAAAGTTATTAATCCAGTTTCAGGCACGTGTCATGCCATCTTTAAATCTGTCTTTAGGTTTCGCCTGCCTAAGGAATATGGTAAGAGTACTTTTATTTACTTAGCCACAACAAACTTGATATACTGGTAAAAAACCCCAGCTAAGATCAAAACAGACTGACGAGATCAAGACTCACAAATTAAAAGTTGTGAGTTTTGCTACCTAATAAAACAAAGCACAATTTTAATAATTTAGTGTATAAAGGTAATGCAAGTTTACAGTTAGAACAGTGTTTGAAAACTACTTTTAAATTGACTGCAGAAAAAAATATCTGCTTTTATATATTTACCTTAAGGCCTAGAATTTCTGACAAAAGCCACAATGCAAATACAGACTTTCAGGCACCACCAAACATTTTAACCACAGTAACACTTTCTTGTCCATGTTGAAGAGACGTGTAATATAAAGGGCTAAAACTGTAGTTCTGCAGCCATTTCATTCTGAAAGAAACAAGTCCTTGCTTGGCTTCATACAACTGGATTTATTTCCACACAACTTTTCTTAAACATAACCATAACAAATATTATTTTGGCTGATGACAGATACAATTACACAATGTTTCTCCAGTATACTATACTGAAAAGCAATTAACAGATGATTCAGCAGCTCCCAGCTAACTTTGTTTACACATTTAAGCACTAACTGTAGTACTTCCCTAAATACAGTATTCTTATCTTCTGCTTTTTCATTGCAAGTCAGAACACAGTATTAGGAAAGTATACTGTAAAATAAAGTGAAGCCTTTCATAAACTCATTTACAAGCATATATTCCCAATATCAATTACTGTGTTCTTAATTATTATCAGTCATTTTAGCATGAGTTCCTGAAAAGAAACTATGCATTATGAAGTTGCTGTAACAATAACCACATACATCACTATAAATTACCTTGCAAAATGCATATGCTTCCATCTGAATGCTTAGTCAATTAAAATTCTATCTTCACATAATATAGCTGAAGAGCCTATTTAAAAATAAGATGTGAACTAATTTTAGCTTGATTAGCCTCCAATTTATTAGATTCAAGTTTAAAGCATTCAGACTAATGAACTGGGTAATCATTGACAATTACAGTGTCACAGGGAAAGACAAGATTTGCATTCTGGACGTGTTTTCATCCAGCAAGAAGCTACCCTTTTCATTTAGAAACACAAGGGGAAAAGAACAGAAAATAAAACTTTCAGCACATAATTATCAGGAGTAAGTTACAACAAGTTGATTACCCTTTCCCCTAACTCCTCAAATACCATTGCTCTTGGCATGCCTCAAAAGAAAACTCTATTTCATTCATGTCAGGCAAAAACTTCCTCTATACAGTTCTTGATTTACTAGCATACTAGCAGTATGAGGAAGAAGCCACCTTCCTCTTAATCATCTCATAACCCACCATGACTTG